CTTATAGAGGATCTGGATAATATGAGAAAAGAATATTAAGATATATAGTGCCTTGAGATCATGTGCGGTATCTGCTGCGTGGTCAGTTTGACCACACCGCATAATCCACTGGATAAGCATGTCCATGAAAATCTCAAACACAGAGGGCCCAACTCTAGCCATGACATTACAGAAACAATCTCAAACTGCAGTCTCCTTTTCTCTGCACATGTGCTTCATATGAGAGGTTGCCTGACACCTCAGCCTCTTCAAGATGACAATGGAAACATGCTTCTCTGGAACGGAGAGGTATTTGGTGGTCTGAGAGTAGATCAGGGAGAAAATGACACCAAAGTTGTTCTCCATCACCTGTCAATGGCACAGTGCGCCTCAGATATGCTATCTTTACTATCACAACTCAAAGGACCCTGGGCCAGTGCCTGGACCCAGTGTGTGATAAGCGCACATGTATGGAATAAAATCACTGTCAAAAATGCAATTCCATACACATGGACCGACATGAAGCAGCGGCTTTGCAATGCCGCCCAGATGCTTGAAATTCCCAGTAGTGTCATTCTCGATATCCCTTTGCAGTCTTGTTCCATAACATGCAGCTAAAATAACAGCTTTCATTGTCAGCTGAAAATGAAAGTGACGAAAGCTCTTATTAGCATGTGATTTTAAATAAGTTGCCAAAACCCTAAAGTTGTACACTTTCGGAGAGTTTCACCAAAATCGTTTTAAAGGTTGCTGTGTGTTGTTCGGTCAGACCCACACACGCGCAGTACTTGCCACAACGTTTTCAAAGCGAAACCTACTGAGCTCATGAATATTAATTACGTTACGAGACGCTCCAGGCTCACAGTAGGATGGGGGCGTTTATTAAGGAGCTCTAGTTCTGTGCTGTTTTTATTTGATGTTTAAACATAAGTAATAGGAAGTCGAAATCATTTACACGAATCGGTTTAATTTATTTAGTTAAAGAAAGCAATATATCTTGTCGAGTTGTAATATATATATATTTATTACCTTTTTATCTTGTTTATTTATTGGTGATTTTCAATCATAGATTTGCATTCGTTCTTTATGTATATCATTGTGATACTCTAACAATAAAAAACGGGAATCGGATCTTTTGATCAGTTAAGTGATTCCTAAACATCATGAGGTATTTATGCAATAGACGTGCAAATTAAATTATATATAATAATTATATAAACAATAGTATTTCCCCCAATTGCTCCTTTTGCCTTCAGTCTGAAGAAACAATCAATCATTTGTTTTGGGACTGTGCTTATTCTAAAGTGTTCTGGGTTGACTTTTCCAATTTTGTTAACAAATATTTCTATCCAAACGTTTGTATAACCCCAAAAAGTGTTTTTTTTTGGTTACTCTTTGAAGTTAGACCCTTCTCACTGTAAATGTATTATTAATCTATTGCTATATCTTGCTAAATTTTACATTCATAAGTGTAAATCTTCAGAGAAAACTCCCTACTTTTTATTTTCAGGAAAGATTTTGATGTGTATGTGAACTCTTTAAGAAACTCTAATAATTCTATTGCATGTCAGACTCTTTCATGGTGTAAGTCTTATAAGCTAACATAGTATGCTTTGGAGTATTGTTTGTAACCCGTATTGCCTTTTGTTCTTACTTGTCTTTGTAATTGTATTTGCTGTTCTTCTATTGCATAATAAAAATAATAATAATTATATAATAGATATAGTTTAATTATTAATAAATAATTTAATAACAATTATAATCATATACAATTCATTTTGGACCGTGAACATGAATATAGACGCGTCGTTTATGCTTTTGCTTTTTTTTGAATACCATAATTGTAATAATTTGTTGTAAAGTTTACTTTACACTTTATATTTGTTTTTAGGGTGACTTTTATAACATTCAGTCCATGGAATAGCCTCTCACTCATTTACAGTAATGTTTATTAATGTGAACTGTCCCTTTTAAATATAATACATATTATAATAATATTATAAAAATACTAATCAATCAAACTCTGTCATGAGCTAATCCTGACCTGACCGCAAAAGCGTGCAACAGCGCCATCTATTGGTTGATATGAAGAGTTGCAGAAGCGTGACGCTCTTCAAACTCACAAAATTAATCCGACAACTCAATCTTTTGAGGGGAACCTTAACGGTGTTTTTGAAAGGAAATTAATTACCTTCATTTTACCGCACTCATATCGTCTGTATCAGAGAAAAACAGATGGCGAACCCGTCAGATCAGAGCAGCGAGAAGGCTGTTCGTGCTGCGTTGACCGCTCAGTCTTTACCTCAGAAATATGACCGCAAAGAACTGCTCAGCCTGGCCTCCTGTAGCTGGCGATACCGTTTATTGTTTTGTGCATGATAATCAAGCAAGTCAAACACTGACAGTAAAAGCTCAATATGGTCATATTTAAAAACAACTACAACAACTACAACAGTTATTATGCACTCAACCACATAAACGGTGTCCACACATCCTGTTTTGGCCAGTGCCTGGACCCAGTGTGTGATAAGCGCACATGTATGGAATGAAATCACTGTCAAAAATGTAATTCCATACACATGGACCGACATGAAGCATCAGATCTGATCACGATCAGAGCCTGTGGATGCACCTCCTGGCATCATCAGACAAATGAGGAACATTTTAGCTCCCAACATAATTTTTCTGGCTCCCTTTGACTCAAGTGTGCCCCTGGATCACGGAATAGTCCACCGGATTGTGGGAATATATGGTTTTAACCAATTTCCTGTTATCAGTCTGGTACCCAACTATGACCAGAGCTCGTGCCAGTTACCACCAGCATATTACGATACAAAAGTCGGTCAGATACTAATAAACATAGATTATACCATGAAGGCTCTCTGGCACGGGAGTTACATTTCTAGGTCCATCATGGCCGTGGATTCAGATGGTGTTCCTCAAACAAAGAAAGATGCGCTAACAGAGTTCCTCAATGCAGGAGATATGAAGTCTTTCAATCTAGAACAGCCAAAGAAAGATGTGAAATTGTCATCAGGGTTATTATAGTTATCTAAAACTAAAAAACACTTTCGTTGCTTGAAATAAAATAAACGTTAACTAAAATAATTTTTTTTTTTAAATGGCAGCTAGTTGCCATGTCAACATTTCTCATTTTCATTTAGTTTCACTTAATGTACGAAAATAAAATAAAGTGAATAAGTGTGTGTGTGTGTACGCGTTTTTGTGACAAATGAGGACATACATTTGTATAATGACAAAGGTATGACATAGGTATTACAAGGAGAAGGTGACTCTTCAGGACATTACCCCATGTCCCCACTTTTCAAAACGCTTATAAATCACACAGAATAGAGTGTATTGAAAATCTGAAATAGCAGAAAGTTTCCTGTGAGGGGTAGGTTTAGGGGTAGGGTTGGTAAAGGGCAATAGAATATACGGTCTGTACAGTATAAAAACCATTACGCCTATGGGATGTCCCCACTTTTCACAAATGTAAACCTGTGTGTGTGTGTGTGTGTGTGTGTGAAATAAAATGACAAACACATAAAATGATAATCGAAAATATACAAAATTAAACAAAATTTGTATGAATTATTGTATTATTTTTATAAAAAAATTATAAATATTAATACATATGATATGTATTGATATATATTATATAACATAAATTCAGCTTGTTGCCAAGGCAACGCTTCTAGTTTTCATTTAATAACCTGTGTGTGTGTGTGTGTGTGTGTGTGTGTGTGTGTGAAATAAAATGACAAACACATAAAATGATAATCGAAAATATACAAAATTAAACAAAATTTGTATGAATTATTGTATTATTTTTATTTAAAAATTATAAATATTAATACATATGATATGTATTGATATATATTATATAACATAAATTCAGCTTGTTGCCAAGGCAACGCTTCTAGTTTTCATTTAATTTAAGATATATAAAAAAAACTACAACTTTATTATAAAAATGTATTATTATTGTATTGTGTTTATTAAATATGAATAAATATTGATTTTATTAAATAGAAATACATATTCATTAAATACAGACACACTTACAAAAACACTGATTTAACAGACATTTCAGATGATCCATGTTATCGGGACATTTATAAGGAGAACATGGATGTAAACCCAACCTATGAACCCAACAGCACAGAGGAAGAGAACCTCTTCTCACAATACTCAGAAAACATCCTGATCAAGCTGAGTGCCTACCTGACCTCTCTCCGCCAGCACCAAAATGTGTTTGTGTTCGAGGCATCTCATAGCCTATCTAATGTGGTCCGACTCACTGAGGACAACATTGATCTGGCCACCTACCAGAGGCTACAGAAAAGGCTGTCAGACCACATTATTCTGGTGAGAAAGCACCTTGAAGGGAATGCAGAAGTCTACTGCATATCTGCAATGTTAATAATAATAATAATAATACTGTTATTTTATGTTTTATTTTATGTTTTATTATTATTTATGTTATTACATTTATGGTTACGTACTTTACTAACAAATGATTAAGTAAATTCTAGGGGGGAAATAAACTTCACTTTCTGAGCGAAGTATTAAAACTGAAAGTTGATTTAGACTCATATCTCACCTTCATTTCCTCAGTGATGTCATCAAGAGGAGGAGTCCCCACATCAAATTCAATCCCTCCGTGAAGGTGAAAATACTGCTTCTGCTTCTGTGGAAAGTGCTTGCAGGCAAAGTCTGGTCCGAGAAGTTGTGGAGAAACCTCTCGTTCTGTTTTCAGCTTGTCATCTTTAAGCAAAAAAAACAAACAAAGCAAAGCAAAATTCATTCACCAATGTCAATGCATCCACAAATTATTCAGGCATAGCAGTGATAGCAATCAAAAGACAATGCAAACCTGACAAAGGTGAGAGCAACTGAGACCAATTAGGAATCAACATCTTTTTCCTCAAGGATCATATCAGCAGGGGCACCAGGAACGTGATGAGTTTCAGGTAGACGAGGTCCCTGGCGTGAAGGTGAAAATACTGCTTCTGCTTCTGTGGAAAGTGCTTGCAGGCAAAGTCTGGTCCGAGAAGTTGTGGAGAAACCTCTCGTTCTGTTTTCAGCTTGTCATCTTTAAGCAAAAAAAACAAACAAAGCAAAGCAAAATTCATTCACCAATGTCAATGCATCCACAAATTATTCAGGCATAGCAGTGATAGCAATCAAAAGACAATGCAAACCTGACAAAGGTGAGAGCAACTGAGACCAATTAGGAATCAACATCTTTTTCCTCAAGGATCATATCAGCAGGGGCACCAGGAACGTGATGAGTTTCAGGTAGACGAGGTCCCTGGATAAATTGTAATAATAATTCACAGAATTACTGTTTGTACTGTACTGTTGATCAAAGAAATGCAGCTTTGGTGAGAATAAGAGACTTCTTTCAAAACCATTACAAAATTTGACCGACCCCAAACTTTTGAAAGGTTGTGGATATACATTAAAATATATACATAAGCATACATCCTTACAGTAAATTTATTGCTAAAATATATCACATACTCAGCAGGGGTCTTCATCTCCAATAACGCAGGGTCTTTCCTACATAATGCTTAAATACATGCCACTTGGCCGTAAAAGGCTGCAAAATGAATAGCCATCCAACCCCTCTTGTCCACAAGTTTGTAGTCCGCTCGCAGCGCTAAAAGACAGTTTAGGGATTCAAGGGAGCCACGTTGTGCAGCGAGGTGCACTGGAGTGAACCCTAAAAGGGGAATAAATGTAAAAAATGCATTTCGACACATTGTGCCAGGTTATACATCACTGATGCCAAACTCCACTGGTTGCATCCATTTTGCTTTTTGAAGTGATCTGGAAGTTTCACTTATTAAATAAAATATAATGATAATAACAATACAGTTAGATGTGTTATACCTGGTTTGACATCATTGATAGCATTTTTTTTTCCTATTTCAAAATGCCCTTTAATAAATAAAGCATATTATTACATAAAATATATATTATATATATTTAGATATTATATACAAAATATCATTATGGTTGCCATTTTTTTATTTTCTTTTTCTTTCAGGATATGACAGCTTTAATTACCCTTATCCTGTTCCTTCTCTGAATGGACCTCCAACACCTGATTTTCCTGAAAATGTAACATAAGAACAATGTCTACAAGCTTTAATTGCTTTTAAATGCATGTGAACATTAGTAGAGACTTTTAATGTGTTGACCTGAGTTAGAGAATCTCTTGCTGCGTATCTGGTTGAGGTTGACTCCTGCTGCGGCGAGCTGGAGGCTGATGTGTGATTGGTTGTTGGCTGCAGTGTGGTGAAGCAGAGAGAGACCCTGCTCATCAAGAACGTGCAGCTGGGATGTCGGGTTCCTGCGATTCAGTGAGTGAAACGCTCCATCCCCCCCCCTCTATCTCTTCTGCTGCCTTCAGCCCAAATGCCACAGTCTGAGTTAGAAGCATATTTCAATGTTTAAATATAGATTGTGTACATTGAGGGAAACCAAAGTATGAACTGATTGTCACTTATCATCTTGCACTCTATAGCTTTTGTGTCTTGAATTGCTTGTGTAGCTCAGTGTCCATCAAGGGCAGTCTCTTCCCTTTGAGGATTTTGATGGAAGTGTTTAAAGCCCCCCACCTCTGAATCATGTTATGTTGAGGATAAAGCGATTCTAACTCAATGCAGATGACATTATAGCAGCAAAACACAAGTATATGTTAGATGCCATGAACAGTATTTATATAATTTAATATCTAAATACATGAATATATAATATAAACAGTGCTGACCTTTTCCCTTCAATCTCACTGAGTGGTATTGGAAACTGTTTTGTAAGTGGAGTCCTGACGAAGTAACTCATAAAGGTAATTGGCTGCTTGAGTCTGAAGTGTTCTGAAAGCCACCTACACAAAAAAATCAGCATTTAATATATAACCCAATAAATCATATTGTATCATATTTTATTTGCACATTAAGGCCTGTAAATTATTGACATCATCAAAACTGCTGAAAAATTGTACACAATCTACTACATCAGAATTTCAACTTAATTTTTGGTCATATAAATATTAGCAACAGTAATATTTTTACTCAGTTTGGGACACCTTTGAGGTGTGTTTTTCCCTACTTGAGTATGAGCTCCATATTCTCCTATGTCTTACTATATGAGCCATAAAAGCTTGACGTATTAAATATGATACTATGATATTTTTTTTGACTTTTTCTAAAGGTTGAAAAAACTGATCCATTCATTCCAATAAAAGAAGAAGATTATTCTGACTATTATTTTAGGCTTTACAGGGTTATATACCATATATATATACCATAAATAATCTATTTAGTACCCTTAAATGCATATCAACGACCAGTACTTTTCAAATGAATTTTTGAACTAATAGTTTCCACTTTTAGTTTGCTTTGATTTCTATTAAAAAGGAGTTTGTATGGTATACACCTAGTTTGCATTCGTGGATCCAATTTATGTAATTTTCCATCTGTTATTTATGTATTTAAAAAGAACTGTTTTCTATTTTTAATATATTTTAAAATGTAATTTATTCCTGTGATGCAAAGCTGAATTTTCAGCAGCCATTAGTTCAGTCTTCAGTGTCACATGATCCTTCAGAAATCATTCTCATATGCTGATTTGTTACTCGAGAAACATTTCTTATTATTATCAATGTTGTAAATAGTTGTGGTGCTTGCTATTTTTCGTTGAAAACATGATACATTTCCTTTCAGGATTCTTTGATGAATGGAACGTTCAAAAGAACAGCATTTATTTAAAAAATAAATCTTTTGAAACATCAAAGTTTTTACGGCCACTTATGGTCAATTTAATGCATCCTTGCTGTTTAAAAGTATTAATTTCCTTCAAAAGAATGAATCTCACTGACCCCAAACTTTTGAACTGCAGTGTATGCATAGAATTAATAGGGTTTCATCATTATAATCAGAAACATGTTTTTTAGACTTGCAAGATGATGTAAAATTTTTTTAGGTATGGCAGTTCACCGCTGTTATTGTCAGCGACCTCGGGTTCACTGGAAGCTCTGGACGTCCTGTTGTCCTCTGGAGCAAACTGGAGAGAGGAAGACAGCAAGGGCAATAACACTGTCCACCTGGCAGCACTTAACTTTCACACAGATGTGCTTAGACACCTCATTCAACTCAACTTGGAAGGGCTTCCTGTGTGGAAGATTTCTTGTCGGTATGATATTGCAGATTTAAAATGTGCATTCCAGATTTTCACTAATTACGACTATTTTTCTTTTACTAAATGTAAAAATATTTATAATATCAAATAGAAAGCACTAGGCTTCTCATTTAAAATTGTACATTTACATACACTAAAAAAATGTTTGAACACACCTCGTTCTTTATTATCACCATATTCCACATTTTAGATGAGTAGCAAATTATTTATTTAAATTACTAATTCAATATATTTAAAATTTTAGTGATTGTGGTAATGACTTTTCTTTTTTTTCTGCAGAAATGATCCAGAGTGAGGACACCAGGCAGCTGGAGATGGCCCTCAGGTGCCTTGAGGCTCTTTGTGTGAACACTGAGTCCTCTTGTGAGGATATAATGGAAGCAGGTCATAGATATATACGTCTTGATAACAAAGTTAATTTCAATCTCTTTTTTTTAAATCTCTTTTTATATAATTTCTGATATTTAGTTTTGGATAGTTGTTTTGTGTGTGTGTGTGTTTGTATAATAATAAATAATGTTAAAAAGCTAAATGTTAGAACAATGGTTCTCAACTGGTTGCTTGTGGTTGCATATGACTGTTCTGACAGCAGGAAAAAGTTCAATGTAAATAATTTGTAATAAACTTTAGTAAAATATTTATCATATTCAGCAACCAATTACCATATTTTAAGCACTTTTGTAGGATAAGCAATATTGGTACAGTCAAGGTTTCGGCAGGTCTTAAAAAGGTTTTAAAAAGTCTTAATTCACCCTTCCACAAATTAAGGCCTTAAAAAGTCCTTAAATCATAGCAGAAAGTCTTAAAATAAGAACAGATATCTTCCAGTGGGGTAAAACTTGTTTCCCTTTGGATTAAGTTGATTTTTCTAAGCCTATTGGCAGATATTTGTTTTTGTTTCAATAACAAACTCATTCATTTTGATCACTTTCATAGAAAGCAAGACTTCTTATCGTATGTCAATATTGCTTCTCAAGTACATTTTTGATTTATGTCAATTTATGTCTTGATTTATGAATCTTTAAACATTTGCACTGGAAAACAACAAAAATACCTGGGAAGAACATCACATTTTTGCAGTGTGATCAGAATGTACAATAAAAGTTATTACCACATTCTAGTGGTTGGACACAGAGATATTCCAGCGATTGTTTTTTTCTCTAAAAGTAATTAAAAATCGATGGACATTGGTTGGAGGTTGTATTTTCAAAATGTAAAGTGTTGCTAACACAACTCATTGTGTGCTCCCTAGACATTTACATTTAGAGAACATATTATTGACATACTGTGTTCCTTTAATTTGTCTTTACTTGGTCTTAAAAAAGTCATAAAACCTGCAGAAACTGTACTGTTTCGAATCACCACTTGAAAAAAAAAGAAAGTGGGTTCTGAAGCAAAACCACTACTGTGCTAGAAGATTAAATAATTTGAGCAGATTGCATTATGTTTCTGCCTAATAATAATCGCTGCACTGCAGGAGGTATTCCAGTGCTGGTGGGCCTCCTTTGTTCAGACAGACTGGTGGTGCAGTGCATGGCTACAGGTGTGCTGTGTTATTCGTCAGAGAATAGGAAAGTCTGTGAAGATCTGGTGCATCATGGTGCCGTACTGGTAGGGATCAAGCTCTGCAGCGGCCACCAGCCTGAGCTGCACTCTCGCTGTGCTGTTATACTGGCCATTCTGGTGGGACACAGTGAGCATCACCAAAACCTTATTGCTCAGTTGGTGAGTCAAGAAACTTTTATGTTATCTATCTATACACATTTAAAGATTTTAAAGGGATAGTTCACCCAAAAATGAACATCTGATGTTTATCTGCTTACCCCCAGGGCATCCAAGATGTTGGTGACTTTGTTTCTTCAGTAGAACACAAACGAAGATTTTTAACTCAATCCGTTGCAGTCTGTCAGTCTTATAATGGAAATGAATGGGAATCACGGCTTTGAGAGTAAAAAAAAAAACACAATCAAAACCAAATTAAACCCTGCGGCTCGTGACGATACGTTGATGTGTGAAGACATGAAACGATCGGTCTGTGCAAGAAACTGAATAGTATTTATATAGTTTTTTACCTCTGATGCACTGCAATGTCTGAACTGTCCTGAGCGCGTCCTGACTGAGCTTTAAACAAATGCCTCCAAGATGTGCTAGTAAATGCTGTCAGATGCATCCGTACACTATGCATCAAAAGTCCATGCAACCAAACTGCTGTTGCACATGCTGGAGGAGTTCCACATCTCGACAAATTCCTGTCTGTAAACTCTGGTACTGTTTACCTCCTGGAAAATATGCAGTAGTGAAAGACAACAAATGTCTGTTGTGTGAAATGTCTGAACAGATCATAGATCAATTCTGTCATTCTGTCAACCACTGGTGGTGGTTGAGGAGAGACCCCCTCATGATTGTAAAGCGCTTTGGGTGTACAACAATACACAATAAAGCGCTATATAAATGCATCATTCATTCATTCCTTCATTCATTTTTATTCACTTTCATGTCGTTCCAAAACTTTTTTTCTGTGGAACACAAAAGGAGAAATTCTGGAGTCTTACTCATTCGCATTTAGATTAAATGGATGTGTTTTTATCTGACAGAAGTACTGCAGGAAGAGGCCTGCTTGGCTCTTGCAGAGCTGGCTTGGGGTCACTGGAAGAACCAGAGGCTCATATGTGAGGCAGGAGCTATCTGTGCCCTGGTGCAAGCCCTGCGAGAGAGGAAGATTCCTGTTAAGGTCAAGGCAGCCACAGTGCTTGAATCTATAGCCAGTCACAATCCTGCCATCCAACAGTGCTTCCTCAGGCAATCGAGTGCCAAGTATCTTTTATAACTTTTAAAGGTAATGTAACGGCAGCTTTAACACAGTATTTAAATATGTTGCCTCTGGGTATCTAACTACACCAATTTCTTTCACTTTGCAAGAACATACAATGTTAATAATGCAGGGATGACTTCGAATAAATCAACATAAAGCTACGTACTGTTGGGTTTTTTGAATGGTGTTCTGGACAAACGCCATCAAAATTTTTACTCATCAAAAATATGATTTACTTCCATTAGTGTATAAATTATTTAGAAATTATTCAGTCTATGAAGTTATGAGGAATTGCTTTACTGGTTTTGTTACTTTGGTTTTAAAGTTTTGTTTTATATTGTTTTATTATTTTATTGTATGTGTTGCAGCACTTTGGGTATAAGAAGAGCACATTATAAATAAATGTAGTATTATTGTGTGACAGTAAAATTAATATGGATGTAGTGGATATTGATGCAGTTACTACAGACCATACTGCATATTGTTTATTAAGCACTTTTTTAAACACTGTTTTGCTAAATTATTAGCATTAACTCAACATTTAAGTAAAATTAAAATAAAAAAATAAAAAATAAAAAAGTTAAGCAACAAGCCAATTCTATTATATTCTGTCATATACATATTACACTAATGTTTAGTTGAATTAAATTATTTAATATAATTGTTCTTATTAGTATACATCAGAAAATTGCATAATCACTCATAATATTTGTAAAAATAAAATTAATTTATTTAGGAATTTTGTTTTTTTAATATGCTTATAATGTATGCTTTTAGTAATTTATTTAGAATAAAATTATCAATAAATAACAACCTTTTATCTATTTTCAAAAAAAGACAATTTCCTCCAAATATTTTTTTATAAATATTGTTTTTGATTTTAGTTAATTCTTTAGTAATTTAGCATTTTTTAGTCTTGCTTTTATATCAACAAGTGTATCAAAAGGTCATATTTTTTTGTTGAATTACCTGTACTGTTCTTGATAACTTTAAGGGAATACGATTTGATAAGATTGATAAGATTTCAGAGAAAGATTCTCATATTGCATTAAGTCCCAAGTCAACCCTTGGTACAGTAAACTCTTTCTGAACTTCACCCTGTGTTCAGGTGTTTCCAGCTGGAAGTGCAGGAACAGGGTGCAACAGCTCTATGGGCTCTGGCAGGACAAACTCTGAAGCAACAGAAACTCATGGCAGAACAGATGGGCTACCTGCTCATCCTTGACCTTCTTCTGTCCTCTTCAGACAAAATGCAATATGTGGGTAAGGCCAGATACAAATTGGTCTTATTATACACCGTCCCAAAAGAGATCACCCAGTTCCATCCAACCAATCAGTCACCCATGAATGTAAGTAACACTCTCGCTGCAAAGCTGTCATCCAGACAGAAGAAGCACCAAATGCAATAAAAACAGCTTCCCATTGACTACGTGTTGACAGGCACTGGATAAACTATGTAGATTGACTACCTGAGCTTCTCCCTGTCACTGACAGAACAGGTTTGGTCCAGCGGGTAAGCGGCCAGCACTTCCTGTCTTGAGACAGCACTGATCTGTTAGACTCATAAGACAGGAAGGCATGCACAGTGGAATGTTATTCCCCCTGTGGGTTTCTCTGTAAACATTGCTTACAAGAGTTGCTGTGTCTCTTGTATTGCTATTAGTGTTAAACTATGACCAGATTACAGGCTGTGATTCCAAAACGATGCTTTATTGCAAGAGTGCTTCCTTTTCAGTCAGGTGTCTGGATCGTGTCTCCCCTGGATTGTCTGTTAAAACATTTTGTCAGACAGATGTTCTCTCAAAATCGTTTTCAGACAGAACTGTCCGCACCTTCATAACTGTGGAAGCTTGTTTCTGCCACGGAATGAAAAATTATAAATAAAAATATAGTGTAAATATACTGACTTTTTTCTTGCAATTGCGAGTTTATGTCTCACAATTCTGACTTTTTTCTTAGAATTCTAAGTTTACATCTCGCAATTGTTTTTTTGTGAAGTCACGGAATACATCTCACAATTCTGACTTTATTTTTCTCTGAATTCTGGCATATCTCAAATTCTGAGTTTACATCTCACAATTCGTTTTTTTTAAGGTAATTGCAACTTTTTATCTGTTTTTTAATTGTAAGTTAACATCTCGCAATTTTGAGTTTATATTTTTCTCGGAATTGAAAAAAAAATAAAAAATTAGAATTGTGAGATAAAAAGGTGTAATTACCATATTTATGCCCTGGAAGAAACAAGCTTCCATTCATATTGTTACAAATTTTGAAACTTTTGTCTTTGCAACTTTACAGATCTTCTTTATGCACCAAGAGCTTGTAACACTTCAAAGAGAAAGGAAAAATTTAAATCGCATCGTATGACCCCTTTAAGATAGTATC